GACAAAGAGATTAATCTCTCATTCAAGTGAGACCCAACACTCAGTCACAGAAGCAACAAACTGGGGTCAATGGTAAAGGTCAAAGGTCAAGATAGGAGAGAAACTGATCAGAATCATCAATGAAGCTGCAGGAGAAGCAAAGGAAGATTCACCGAGTGCGTCTGAGTATTTCTACAGATCCCCAAAATACTTCAAATACTTTATGTGCAGACAATTTATAAAAATATCACATCACTTGTGAGCAACACATCATAAAGATCATACTGGGATATGGCTGATATAGGTAGTATCTGTGCACTCAGTAGCAGCACACTCAGTGTAACAGAGAGGAAACCAGGTGAGGGGAGGCGGGGCTCTGGCAACAGCATGCACCTGTCCAGCCGTGGTGAGTTAGGACAAGACCCTGACAGGACTGTCTGGCCAAAGGGCCTCAGAGGGCCTCCTCTCCCTCTACTGCCCCTCAGGATAGAGGTGGGCTGGATGCGACTGCCATCAGCAAATAAAAAGGGATAAAAACAGAAAGATAGCAACTCAAAACAACACAAACAGTCTGTTTCAGAGGCGGATGGTCATATTAATCACGGTCTAATCGGCCCACCTGCAGTTTGTTTTTAATCTAAAGGGGCAGCCAATCAGAAAAAGTCAGCTTACGGAAGGCGGGGCTAAACCAGCTTGTTTCAGACAGAGGAAGAGCTGGTGGGCTTAACATATTCCAATTATGAAACGTAAAGAAAACCTAATATAATACAAGAAAACAATCAAAAACTCGACCCGAGTTAAATTTATCTGTTTTGTTCTTCAAGGCCGTGTCATCATGCACCTCTGAGCCGCTTTCAGCACTGCCTCTATCTTCAGCTCTATTTTCAGATCACTGATCTCTAATTTCACTGTAGAGTTTAGATGGAGAGCATCATCATCTGGGTCAAACTGACTGCACTTTAATGTTTAAGATGATTAAAAAACAAACAAAAACGACGCCCTCCCAAATAGCCTTCTATCTTCTGCAGAGGAGTCAGCAGGGTCCGAGCCAGAACCATGTTTGCTGTTTTTTGAATTTTCCAGACTTGTGCGAGGTCTTTGAGAGAAAAGTTTGGCTCTTTTTTGTGATGTGTGCCTGAAGCAATCCAGAGGTGCACAAGTACACAACACTGAAGGGAAGATTGGACAAACATATAAAACACAGAAACCCAGTTTTTGTCAGCGAAGCTCCATTTACTGTACAAAACAAGTCACAAATATGGATTCATGTGTTTATATCTAAGGTCTTTCTGAGGATTTCTTAGACCTGAACAAGAAAAAAAATTCCACACATGACCAAAAGGTACAGATGGTTAAATATGATCCCTCTGGAGAAAAAGGAAGGGATTATGAGGTGGAAACACAGGTAAATGAATGAATGAATGATCTTACCTGTCCCCCTCCAGGCTTTTTCTGCTGCCCTTTGGACAGTTTGGACCTGGAGAACTGTTAGACTGCCTGTGTTGGCACACAGCGGCCACAGAGAAAGAGGAAGAAAAACAAACACGATGTGGAAAATGGCGATGCAGAGAATGGCCCAACTGAGCTCTGGGCAAGAAATACTATAAAAGGGTTCAAACTCAGTCTTTCTATCGGTTTATGGAAGTTGCATAGCTGCAAAAGTGCTTTCAAGCCAGAGAAGTGAAGAAATTCAGAAGAGAGAAGCAGGTGCAGCACAACAAAGGAGAGATTAGACAGCCTTAGACAACAAATATTTACAGGAAAAGGGTTGGAAGCGGTGCTGATCACGAGATCTACGGTGTACATATTACTACAGGACAAGCTTCAGGCTACAGGAAAGGCTTTCAAGTGAGAGTTCAGGGACGTATGAGCAGGCAAGCAGAACCGCAGCGTGTCGGGGGTCGGCACAGGGGGGTGGACCCGGTGTACCTGTCTTCCTCAGGGGCCACGTGTTCTACTAAGATCCTGGGGCTTGGGGGAGTCGTTCGGGGCAAAGAGTTGGAACACCTGGAGGGGTGGGAAGGTGGGAGGGAGGAGGAGCATCCCAGTGGGAGAGAGGTTGTTAGTGAGGAAAGGGACAGTGAAGGCTTCTTTCAACTTCATGGCACAACATCAGGTAAAAGCTCCACAGAGACATTTCTGTGAGCAAACAAACTGACACGGTGGTAAAAATACCAGAAGAACTCGAATTATAAGAACAGTTTTTGTTGCGTCTGTAAAATCAAACCTTCCTCACAGACTACAGAGGATCAAACATGGTGTCACCAGCTGTTGCATCCCTTTATGTTCCTAACAAGAGCTCGGTCAGCAGTTATACCAGCAATCAGACTCCACCGGGGCTCGTGATAATTGGTACGGACAGAATTTCTATGAGATGACAGCGATTGTCAGCTTTTTGCGGCTATGTGGACCTGCTCAATGGATTTCCAGCTTACAATGGGGCAGTTTGCAGCTGTGTTTGAAGAAGCTGGGATAAGAAATAGCATCGCCAAGTCTGAGGCCAGGATTCTCCAATGGGAAACGGTGGATTACTGGCTCAGGTAGAGACGTACAGAAAAGGATGAGTGTGAAGGTGAAGCTGTTGATTTACTGGCCGATCTCTCACCTTATTGTTTGAAAATAAATAAATAATAAATGCACAGCATCCATGTTGCCATTTTTTCTGTTTACTGACTGCAGGGTGGAATCAATCTTAGTCTATGACTCTTGGGAAGAAACTGAATAAGCATATCTGCAAAGAATATCTGAGAGAAGCTGCACTCAGTTATGCTTGCTGGGACCTTTGTGGTTTATAATCTTATCTTAAACGAACTGAGATATGCAAACAACTAGATAGTTTGAGTTGGGTTATTTTTTTTAAATGAGGGTGTATAATGGCAAATTTACTCATGTATGAAAGGGGCACATGATGTGAAGGGAAGTGGAGACATGCAGCATCCTAACACCCAAAAAGTTGAATGACTCCATCAGAAAAAGAGTGCAGATAGAGGTGATGGTGTTCTTCTGATACCTGTCTCTGTCAGTAGAGTGAAAGTCTGGTCTCAGACACGTGGTGCTGGCGCTCCTCACTCTGTCCAACGACGGCTGCAGGTCGCTGCACCGCCACAACGGGGCAGCAGAGAGAGAAACAGAGATGCACAGGGACAGAGGATGCGAGGAGGAGGCGAGGTGATGATGAGTGGGAAGGGGAACAAGAGATACGGCAGAAATAGTCAAAAGAAAGGTAACAAAATAAGGCAAAGAGTGAAGATGGGAGACCACCGCAGAAAGGATGAGGCGAGCGAGTGAAAAAGGGAGGGTTGATGAGAGAAAGGGGGACAAAGAAAATCCAGAGAAAATCAGAAGAAAGGTAACAAGAAGTGAGAGACAAAGAGAGAAGAAGGGAGGCCATGAGACAGCGCATTAAAACGGTAATGGCTCTGATGCTGCGTTTCCATTTATCACCGCCAGTCACTCCTCGCGGCCTCGCAGAGTGAGACCACTCGGATGGGAGGTTGTCATGGGAACCAGGTCTACACGGGAGAAGGGTTTGTGTGTCTGGGAGCGAGCGAGGAGAGCAGAGCTCCGCTGCACGTCTGTGCCGTGTCACATCATGCTGCTGACAACAGCTACTATCAACAGATGGCCGGCTCGTTGCCATGGCATGACGTCGCACATGACGCTTCGAGGCCAAACGCCTGACACGGACACGGCAACAAGAGCTTAAGAGTAACACCCTGCTTTTACCAGCACACGCTCCAAAGGGAAAAAGAAGCAGGTCTGGGTGGCGAGAGGACCAATGGCGGGAGGACATGTGAAGTGGGTGTGTTCTTACCTAACCGTGACCTCATCAGTGAACCTGAGCACACGGTGTGTGAGGATGCTACGAGGCAAGGCGCTGCCCCCCTCCTGCCTGTGGGGCGGCTTGCTCTTTAGGCATGCGGGGAGGGTGGAGCTGTGTGCCAGAAACCCCGCCCACAGTGGGTGGGGAAAGACCCGCATGCAAAGAGAGGCAAAGGAAAACAAAAATGACACACACAGCTGAGAGAAACAAGCCAAATAAGTGCAGGAAGGGGAAACAACATGAAATTAACAAATGAAGAAGAACATTTACATGGCGACATAAAGCAGGGTAGCTTTAATGCATCCTATCCACAGCTTATGTAACAGCTCCATTAAAAGGCTTCCTGCAGCATCGTGCCCACGAGATGAGCTACATACAGTCTGCGACTTCAGAGAGCCGAGTGTAGAGATTGCTCTCTGGTGGATCGACCCCGCACACATACGTACAGGAAGATTACATGTAACACCGATTACGTAACACAATCTAAAGCTGCAGAGGCGACACGTGGCGAGGAAACCGAGCTGCAGCAGATCTATAGGATGCACGCGCTGTTATCAGAGCAGAACAGACAAAAATGGAGGGAACTGCTCCTGCATGAAATGTCCACATAGAACCCATCGTGTCCCCCAAAGACCTTTGAAGCAAGTCTCACTATTTCCCCCGCACTGGTCACCTGGACATGTCCCCAGTCAACTTGATGAATCAGCTTAAAGAGCTTTACCTTTACTACCATCTTTGCTGTAGTCAGATTGTAAGTGAGGATTTTTGAATGCTTCCCCCCTGTTTTTCAAACTTTTGGGGCTAAGCTACACCAAGTTATACAGAGTGGAATACATTTTAGCTTTTAAATGTTGGAGAGACACTGAAATAACATATTTCAAAACATATATGAGCGTTTACTGTTCTGTGAAAGCAGTCAGAAGCAGGAAAAAGGGAAAGTAAGCAGATACTACAGACATACAC